GCCAACATCAGGCTCTGATACGGCAAAAAAAAAAAATAATAATAATAATAAATAAATAAATAAATAAATAAATACAGAACAAGGTAAATCTTGCCTGTAATGGATAAAACAATGAAAAATTACATTTTTCATCAGTGGTATTTCCTCCACAAGTTGATAGTTAATCTTAATGGTATGGATGCACTAAACTATGGAAAACTGAAGATGGTATTCCTGTACAGGACAAAAACTGTAGAGTATTTCTTGTACCAACATTCATTGGTACAAGAAATACTTTACAGACATGAATGGTAATGCCACAGGTAAAGGAGGTATTGGAGATATTGCAGAGAGTATTGCTTGGTGCTTCTGAGTTTCAGCTCTATCTTGTGATGCATACTGAGGTAATAATTTCAAGTAAAATATATCATAAATGAAGAAAATAGGCACAAGAAGTGCTGAACACAGAGTAAGTTCTAACTGTTCAGTTAAGTGAACAACCTAAAAGATTTATCAGTTAAATTGAACCAAAATAGGTTGTGCAAGGTTGTTCATGCAAGGTTTCCAGTCTGTGCATAGCCACCAATAAGATAATACAATGGTTGGGTGGGGTCTAAGAATGAAGCCTGTGTTAGGATGGTTTTAGGGTTAGTGTTACCGAGAGAGATACACAGAGATAGAATGAAATAGACACTGCCATCTTATAGAGCATAAAAAGTAGAGTAATGAACAACACAGGCACAGCTACTCCAGCCTCATATTTATTGCAGAATGATAAAAATATAAGCTGCATATCACTGCTCAGAGACTAAATCCACAACACTCTCATACAGCCAGATAATATAATATAAATAAGAGTTCTTAACCGTTTTGCTCCAGATGGTTTAAAAGCCAAGCATTGCTCATGTAAGGGGCGCTTGCCCATGTGCGGAAACTTTGAATGTGTCGTCCTGAGCCTCCTTTCTAATAGTTTCTTCCTCTCTCACTCACTCACTCAATCAATCATTTAATCACTCACTCACTCACACACACACACACACAGAAAGTTGAAAGAAAAGATTCGATGAAGCCTCAAGTTCATTTTATGGTTAACTCTTGCTCCCATCTCTGGTGGAGGGGTAAGGGGTGAAGTATATGATAGGGTATATGGAGGACAAGGGTAGGGCCACGGAGGAGGAAACAGTGATGTGGACTCTGCCAATGATAGTTTCTCATTTTGGGAAGAGGGTGGGGCATAATTTAGCTGATTTACTTAACCCAATGCTGATGGGCATGATGTGTATGTACATGCTATGCCTACTGTGAGTACTTGTTTGGTTTTAACACATAGATGGCTACACTTTTACTAAGCCACCAATGAGCCAGTTACGAGTACTGCCTGTATCACCCTTTTACCCTTTTCTTTGATTTACAAAATTATTTTATGTTATCTTATTTTGCTGTTACTAATGTTTATATTATAGTAATTATAATGTTTATATTAAAATAACACCATCGATATTCATAGCACTAGTAAAAAATATTTTTTTCCCGCCAATTCAAATCACGTACGGCCACAAGGTCTACTAATTGACTCCTTTGTGGCTAAGCACTAGCAGAGCCATCTATGTCCAGAGACATTTCACAAAAATATGCAAAATGAGCACAGCATTTTCCCCATTTTTTATTCATTTTACCCAGCAACATTGGGTTAATTGGTGGGAAGAGGGATGGTGGATGGAGCTATAGTATTTCTAGGGCAATGTACAGTCTACAAACAAAAAAGAGCTAGAACAGAATACAGGGATCACTCAGCAGCAACTAAAATAAAATAAAGTTATGATGCCAATGTTGGTGTCATGGTATATTCCACAGGTACTTCATGATGGGAGCTTGCCCCCATCTTGGGAGTAAATAGAAGGTAGGAAAGGTTAGGTTTGGATTTCTTTCTTTATATACACTATGGTTATTGTTCCTGCACCAGATCTCATTACATTTTGGCTATTTGTCTGGCACACATGCACACCAACTCTTTGTACACGAATAGACCTTCATGCTCGTCGGTCTCTGCTGGGATATTTTACCAGCGCTTTGTACCAGACGCCTGTACTGAAGAGCTGTTTTCCCGGCAACAGTGCAGGATGCAATTTTCGTTTGATATTTAATTGAAAATCACCCAGCTTAATGCCTCAGCGACAGTGCAGCATTCGCGACTGTTTCTTGTTTCCTATTACCAGACGGAGTTGACGCCTGAGGGAAGGCAGGGAGTTGCAGGAAGTCAGCCCCTCATTGGAGAAAATATAATTTGCCAGGGAATTTTTTTTTTGTGCCGTATCAGAGGCTGACGTTGGCGACCATGTTTTTTAATTTCATGGTTGTACAAGGAAGTGTACGAAGGTGGTTTCCACGAAGGTGGAAAAAACAGGCTCAACTTACGCATGAATGTTGATCAATACGAATCAATTTTGATCATTCCTGACCTTGATGGATCAAGGGGTCGTTGCTCCAGAGTGGATCCATCTTATCAACAAGTTATTAACATGATCAAGGAAAATGAATAAGAAACACTCAGGGTCATTGAAAGATTCGGGTAGTGATGTACATGCGCAGAGTGATGCACGTGCGCAAAGAGTTGGTGCGCGTGCATGAATAGCCAAAATGTAGTGAGATCCGGTGCTGGAACAATAACCACATCGTTCTTTATATATTAATGACAACTGCACGCACACAATAAGATAAAAGTAAAATAATACACATAATTAAATCAATTAATAATGAAATTTGCCAACTTACCCAGTACACACAAAGTTAAAAAATGTCTCTCATTCTATCAGATCACTTAATTGTCATTCCTCTAACTTACTTTCATCACTACTGGCTTTCCTCTTCCTAACGCCTCCAGCTGGTCTGTTTGTCCTCTTTTTAAACAGAAACTTGGTCGTGTTTTCTGCCATTTTTTTGCGGTTTGTTTCAATGGATGGGGTTTGAATGAAATTCTTCTTCTTCTTTCTTCTTTTTTAGTGTCTTAGACTATTGTCTAGTGTCTATCCCCTGGATCTATTTTCTTTCTTCTTTCTTCTTTTTCTTTTCTTTATATTATTTCTATTAGTTTCGTTTTCTTTATAGGAATATTTTTGTGTGTCTTAAAATGTAGTCCTTCTTTATTGGTGGGAGATCAGCACCTGTGAGTAATATGTCTATATGAGGATTATTTATTTTGATTCTTTTTTAATTAAAGCTTCCATCAGGTCTGTTCTGTAAGATTAAAATCTTGGACATTGAAGTATTATATGTTGTATGTTTTCTTCTTTTATAGTTTTAGACTATTGTCTAGTCTATATCCCCTAGATCTATTTTCTTTCTTCTTTCTTCTTTCTTTAAGCTCCGAAATTCAAATAGGCGGTGGGACATTACAGCTGAGGCTTCTCCGTAAACAGTGAATACGGGATGCTTTTGTGCACGACGAGGTTACGCTGACGCTCGGAGGTAAACAGTGACCCAAACGTGCTTTTGTGTTTTTAATTTTGTGTTTAAAGACATTTACATTATCCGAAGTAGAAATATTACTCTGAATTAATATAACTTAAGAAGAAGAAGAAGAAGAAGATGATGAAAAAAAAACAATATAAGCAAGAGAGAAATAGTGAAATACATTGTAAATCTGACATCTTTTATTAAAACATAGGGATCAGTAATATAAATAAAAGTGGCATGAGTGTATTATATATATATATATATATATATATATATATATATATATATATATATATATATATACACATACATATAGACATATATTATATAAATTATATGTATACATATATACACATATATATTATATATATGATACTTTTTTTTCAACAGCCATTCATTCCACTGCAGGACATAGGCCTCTCTCAATTCAGTATTGAGAGGTTATATGGCAGTGTCACCCTTGCCTGATTGAATAGCCTTCCTAATCAACCGCGGTTCGGCGCGTTAACACTTGTGCCACGGCGGTGACTTCCCCTACGACACCTGCGTTTGACTTCTCATGGCGATATGTCGTTTTCTCTGGCTCGAGCTAGCAGTCAGAGCGCAGGCATTTTTACGACCGCCGCGACGGGGAATTGAACCCGGGATCACGAGGGTCGGAGTCCAGTGCTCTAACCACTGAGCTATCGCGGCAGTCATATATGTATATGTGTGTGTGTGTGTGTGTGTGTGTGTGTGTGTGTGTGTGTGTGTGTGTGTGTGTGTGTGTGTGTGTGTGTGTGTGTGTGTGTGTGTGTGTGTGTGTGTGTGTGTGTGTGTGTGTATTTGTCCTGGGTAAGACGTTAAACTACACCCTGGGTTGCCCTTTGGAAAGGCATAGTACCCATTTCCACCCTTGATTGGGGTAAAACCAAAACTGTTGCAACAGGGCAGTGGATGCATGTGTGTATATATATATAGTCCAGTGATTAGCGTACTCCGGACCTTGTGGTCCCAAGGTCAATTCCCCGTCGCGTCAGTCGTAAAAATGCCTGCGCTCTGACGGCTGGCTCGAGCCTGTGACAACGACATATCGCCTTGAGAACTCAAAAGCAGGAGTCATAGGTGAAGTCTCCCGTGCTGGTTTCAAGCCCGGATGAATGCGGTGGGTTAGCGGCAGGATGGAGATCTGGCTGTAAAAACAAGCCAAGACTATGATACGGATCATTCCACTGTGACGACGTTTGATGGGAAAAGCCGAAAGAAACGTCGACCCTGCTTAAAGACAGGAGAAAATAGAGTAAAAAAGAAGAAGAAAGAAAACCATTGTTGCCAACCCTCATTGTGATGACGAATATATGCAGCCGTTCATGACAAATCTGTGAAGCTTAATTCCTGGCATCAAATTCTTCATTATGTTTTCACATTTTTGGCTCTTAGAGGTGCGATCATCTTACAGATACGACTCTTGGCCTTACGGAATATGGACTTTCGTGGAACCTTTATTTTTTAGTCCATTTCGTCATCGACCTTTGTTGGTTGTTTCTTGATGCCAAACCCGGACGCCGGCGGCGGGGACGACGGTGGATTCAGGGGGGCGACTGGGGCTGTAGGAATGGTGACAGGGGCTTTAGGGAGGCTTTAGGTGGGCTGAGAGGGGCTTTGGGTGGGCTGAGAGGGGCTTTGGGTGGGCTGAGAGGGGCTTTGGGTGGGCTGAGAGGGGCTTTGGGTGGGCTGAGAGGGGCTTTGGGAAGGCTGATAGGAGCTTTGGGAAGGCTGATAGGAGCTTTGGGAAGGCTGATAGGAGCTTTGGGAAGGCTGATAGGAGCTTTGGGAAGGCTGATAGGAGCTTTGGGAAGGCTGATAGGAGCTTTGGGAAGGCTGATAGGAGCTTTGGGAAGGCTGATAGGGGCTTTGGGAGGGCTGATAGGGGCTTTGGGAAGGCCGATAGGAGCTTTGGGAAGGCTGATAGGAGCTTTCGGAAGGCTGATAGGAGCTTTCGGAAGGCTGATAGGGGCTTTGGGAAGGCTGATAGGGGCTTTGGGAAGGCTGAGAGGGGCTTTGGGTGGGCTGAGAGGGGCTTTGGGAGGGCTGAGAGGGGCTTTGGGAGGGCTGAGAGGGGCTTTGGGTGGGCTGAGAGGGGCTTTGGGAGGGCTGAGAGGGGCTTTGGGAGGGCTGAGAGGGGCTTTGGGAGGGCTGAGAGGGGCTTTGGGAGGGCTGAGAGGGGCTTTGGGTGGGCTGAGAGGGGCTTTGGGAGGGCTGAGAGGGGCTTTGGGAGGGCTGAGAGGGGCTTTGGATGGGCTGAGAGGGGCTTTGGATGGGCTGAGAGGGGCTTTGGGAGGGCTGAGAGGGGCTTTGGGTGGGCTGAGAGGGGCTTTGGGTGGGCTGAGAGGGGCTTTGGGAGGGCGATAGTGACTTTTGGGAGGAGACAGTGGGGATGCTGGTAGAGGTTGTAGTGGAAGTGACAGTGGCTTCTGTACTTATATTCAAATTATTGTCTAGATATATGATATAATAAAAGATACCGAGTTAAGCCAAAAGTACTATGATAGAGGTCACAAGAGAAATTATCACCAATATTCTAATTTTTTCGTCAACAGGGTTGATTTCACTACTTTTTCCGTGTTTGTAGGTTTATATCTCTATCGGGCCATCGGTTATATTAGGCAATACAAACATTTCCAGATAAATCGGCCTGTGATAAGACCTCTGCCCCGTTTTAAGAATTTCCGGTGAGCACGTCCATAAGCCCTTCTGGGTAATTTACATTCGGAAAGATATTGTTGCATTATTTGTGTATTCCATGAGTTTCCTCCCTTTGAGGGCCCAGTTGTATGAGAGTTCAT